TAAGAATGACTAATGATAGAATGTACATTCAGTTGGACTTTCCGTTAGACATAAATTATAAATTCATATAAAATATATATATATATATATATTCTTTTTCGTAGCTCTTTCTACGCATCGATTTGATAATTAAAACGCCGTGAAGCTGCCAGATCTGATAAATGACGTCAGGCCGAATTCAGTCGCAGGAGCGACGCGCGTCGAGCGAAGAAATCGAAGAAACGTTTCTTCACACGTAAGACTGACACACAATTACTTCGCGTGCGTGTACGTGTATGCAAACACATGCGGTATCGGGGAATGCGTACGAGGTAGTACGGAAACCGACTGCCGTGGGTTTATACCGGATAAATCTTGTTTCTTCCCGGCGAGCGTGCGATTCTCTCTCTGTCGCTCCCACGGCTTCGCTCGGCTTCGACGGGTCCCTCACTGACCACATTGTCCCTCACGCACACAGCGGAAGAGGGACGGTATACTATAAAGCGGTACGCGTCAGGGGAAGCACCGAGCGTTTAGTCGGACTGTCTGACTGTAACGTTTGTCTGACTGCAACGTCCGTTTCTACTGCGCGCGTATGTACTACGCGCACCGTTGCGTAGTGCGAAATCTGATTAATTCAGAGAAATTAAAAGATTCTATCTGATTATAAATATTCTACATTTTAATATCTTCTTTAAAAATTTAATTTAACCGATTAATTTCATTCAACTAAAAATTATATTCATTCAACTAAAAATTATATTATATACTAAAAATAATTATATTTGAAAAGGTTTAAAGTTTATACATAGTTTAAAGGCTTATTAAGGCTTAATTATGTAGTTGGATAAAATAATTTGGGAAAAATGATTTGCTTGTATTATTGATTAAAAACTGTCTGTAGTATAGAGAGAAATGTAGTTAATGAACAACGAAGTCTAAGTTGATAAGCTAGCACACAATTGTGCACACATTCTACTGGAATATTTGTGCGGCATTAACGGATATATTGTGAGCTGCTGGTAATTGAGCGTGAAAAACAGACGGCGATAGTATTGAGATGTATAGAATGTCTTTATTACGCGAATGACAAAAAGGATTGCTTTTGCGAAAGTACACATGTTGATTTAACAAGTTTAGCATAACTACGTAAAAATGCTCGTTAATCGCCTCTAACTTTGACTCTAACAATGAGGATTAGAGATTTTTATTTTCAGAAAATGAATGCTTCGCGGAGTATCAATCAATGTAATTGGCTTGATAATAACTATTAATAATGCGTATGTAAATACATGCTGTAGACGACAGAAAATGCTTGATAAATCAATTATAAAATCAATGCAGTTTGTATTGATTTTATCAGCGTGTCCTTATCTTTACGCTGTTAGCCAGAAGCTTTTCTTATCATCTGATTTCAAATGTACACGAATTATGACATCTCGGAAATATCAACGGAGTTTTGTAAATTCAAACACAGCGCTTTTAAAGTATTAAAATAATAAACTCTAAGCTATCGGAAACTTGAAGCTGTCGAGTGTTGACTTACCGAGCGAAGAGATAAGGTTGCCCCAGAGCTCGGCCGTCTGCCACGCCAGGAAGAAGAAGCCGAAGAACCGTACGACGATGGCGTCGACTGGTTGGTCGGTGATCTTGGCATAGACGCCGCCGACCTGTGTTAGATACGTGGCCTTAGCGGCCCACATAGGCGCGGCGCCGAGACCCAGAAGTACTCCAGCAGGCACCAGCGTGTAGAATTTGGGATAAAACTGCGAGCCGATGTACGGCGCGTAGCACAGCATAGACACGCAGAGGGTCCACTTGACGGTGAGTCTCTTGATGAGGAAAGTGGGCACGAAGATGCACGAGAGCACCAGGGCGGCGTAGATGGCCGAGAGCGAGACGGTACCAAGGCCGTCGCTGGCGTTGATCGACGACTGCAGATTCGCCGTGCCCTGGAACGCGGTGAACTGCACCATGAAGGCGATCGAGACGGTGCCGATGTTCTTTAGGATACGCCATTTCTCGCCGCGCGACAACTTGAATTTCCGCGATTGCGTGTCGTCGTCGGCCACCGGAAGCTGCGGCGGCTTCTGCGGCTCCGGCGGTATGCCGTCGGTGCCGTCGTCCTTGTAGCCCTCGTTCCTGTAACCGACCCCGCTCACGGTCACCGTGTAAACTGTGTCATCGCCGCCGCCACCACCGCCGTCACCACCGCCGCCGCCGCCCATACTTCTGCCACCGTCATTTTGCGATGCAACCATTTTACGTGTCGGCTACCTAAACACACAATTACAGTTATACATAAGTATTTTTACTTTGTAGATATTTGTAGATAAAGGTACAATATAAGTAATTCTAATAAGATTTTATTTTTTTAATCTTCGATTGTCACACTTGACAAATTGACCCCAGCTTTTTACTTTGGGCAATGGATTTTTTAAAACTTACTTTCTTTTAAGAATTTTTTTTCAATATAATGCCACTTTAATTTTACATTCTATATAATCAGAATACATTCTACAATGTTTGAACTCTATTTAAGAATTTTTGCGATCCAATTAAACTGTTAGTTTTTAAACGGCAGCCTTTTAAAAATTAGTTTGACAAATGGGTTCCAAATGATAAACTTGATTGAAAAAAAGATGTGACAACTGAAGGTTAAAAACCAAGTTTAACTAATTGTAAGCAATGGTAATCTCCAGTATTCACTGTAAAATACGCTGATGTTCAATGAGAATAAAACATCTTATACACAAATAACATTTCAATGGAAAGTGCAACCAGTTAAAGGACAAGTTGTAATTTTTTGTCGGCAAAGACTGATAGATTAATCTGTGATATTTGCATACTAATTGATGGTTACATGATGTGAGATATTATTAATATAGGTACGTTCCAAAATATGTGTCATTGCTTTTCATAAAATGGAAAATTACTTTTATATACAATATATATAGGTATATATATATATATTTTTTTAAACGATATTAATAATTTATAGACTTAAAGACGCTTAAATGTTTTTGACTTATAAATATATATATATATATATATATATATATATATAAGTCAAAAACATTTAAGCGTCTTTAAGTCTATAAATTATTAATATCGTTTCAGCCGACGCTAAAAGTCAACTCAATAAAAACGGTTTTGCGTGAGTATCTGTGATTAACGCGCGTCCGCGTTAAATGAGAGTTTCGTCACCGTTCTTGACGCGAACACAATTACATGAAGTCATTCACGTATATAGAGATGCATGTGCACACCAATATGATTTTTATACGCTGCGCTTACACATACATTGTTCTGTACACAACGATATTACGATCGCGTACATTGCTTCCTGTGCCGCTTCTTTATCAGATTGCCGCCTCGGTTCTGCGCATCGCGTGCATGTCCATTTATGATTTATGCAAGTTGCAACCTATTCTTAAGTGCTATTACCAAACCAATTTCTAGTTACATCTATTTGTGTCTGAAATATCTAATTATTTATCTATTTTATCTATATATTTTATTCATCAACCAATAATGTTTTTTTTATTTTTTTACAATATTTTATTGCAATTAAATAATAACTAATTAAATTTTAATAATTATTTTATAAATTAGTAATACAAATTTATAAAGGGAAACAATGTTTCTTTTTGAAAAGAACAAGATTAAAATCTATACACTTTTCCCACTCAAATCGCTTTCATTTTTCCACTACCATTGCATTAGCCTTCTCAAATGATAAATGCAATATTAATAGATAAATGTGAAGAGAGAAAAAAGAGCCATTTGTCAAACCGATTAAACGATCAACCGGCTATTACATGTCTCGCGATTTTCCCATTAATTTAATGAATACATTTAACGCTGTATAGCATGCATATGGAATAATATGTAAACTAATATTAAGACAATATTATAATATATGCTATTAAAGTCAATTTTTGCATATGACTTTCTCAGGACTACTGCACAAACAAGAATCCGTAAACGCGGTGAACACGGCGTGACAAATGGCAACCTTTCGAGAGAGAGAACGGCAAGTCTGCGTAATTCTTAAAACGGCCGGTCTACCACGAGGCACAGGCGCCTTGTTTATGTGTAATATCCGCGCAAATGGACACGAAAATATTAATCAACCGGCAGGTATGTGCATGCATGCTAATCACGAGTGACTGTCGCGAGTAACGAATGATTTTTCACTACGATCGGAAAAGAACACGTAACGACACGTGCATTGCACTGCTCTTGAGAAAGAGGAAATCAAAATTATCGATAATTCTCATCTCGATGATCTCGATAATTTATCTCTTATATTGTAATTTATTTAACTTAAACTTTTGTATTAATCTTTATTCTTTTAGAAAGTAAACTAGCCTAAAATAGAACGCAAACGGAGGCAACAATATTAAATCACTATAAAAAGATTAATTGTACACGTTAATACAAATACAATGAACATATGTATGTACACATATATTTTTGTAAAAAATCGCTAATTTACCTCGCGATCTGCGAGGTAAATTAGCATTCCCTGAGGTAAACAAAATCTTATAAGAATTTATGCTTATTATATCATTCAAATAAAAAAAAGGACGTATTGAGAAAATATGATATATATATCGCAAGCACGTATTGCTTTTGCGACCTCGTAACTTTTTTGACTTAATATTAAATAAATATTACAATTGAATATCGTAATTATTGATATCCAATTATTATACATAATTTAATATTACTTATTAATGATAATTGAATACAATTATTTAATATTCAAATTGATACAAGAAATGACGTTTTACGTTTTTAAACAAAATAATACAATCCCTATTTCAATTTCACAATTTACATTTTTTATTTTACGAGTACAACTTCTAACGTGTTAAAATTTGAAGATTAAATACTGGATTAAATAAAAACAAAAAATATTATTCATCTATGTTGGAAATGTATCAAGACAAATGCAGATTGCAGTTGATTTCACTTCACGTGTACGTGCTCGACGGTTCTTTATTGATTGTGATTCTTTGAACAATCACCATATCTCTCGTACGATAAAAAGCGATTGCTACTCGCGTCCGTGATAGTTTTACCGTCGATTTTTTCACGAATAAAAAGCATGTCGGACCTGTCTTGTAAGGCCGCGCCTAATCAATTTGCT